TCCATTTCCATTAATCTATACCTTGCCACATGGCTCGTGGCTTACCGGTATCTTCACATTCTGTTTCTCATCGTGGCGGCTGGCAGCGTCTCTCTGACTCAGCCTTCCACTTCCCAGCTTTATTCTCCTCCTTGTCCTGCCTACACTTCCTGCCTAGCCAATGGCCAATCAGCGTTTTATTTATTGACTAATCAGCAACACGTTTGCCATACAGAACATCCCACAGCACATCTTCAACAAATGGTGCTGGCAAAACTGGATATCAACATGTAGAAGGCTGCAAATAGATCCATATCTATCACCGTGCACAAAACTTAAGTCCAAGTGGATCAAGGACCTCAACATAAATCCAGCTACTCTGAACCTGCTAGAAGAGAAAGTAGGAAGCAGTCTTGAACGCATTGGCATAGGAGACCACTTCCTAAATAGAACACCAGTAGCACAGACTCTGAGAGAAACAATCAATCAATGGGACCTCTTGAAACTGAGAAGCTTTTGTAGAGCAAAGGATACGGTCAACAAGGCAAAGCGACAGCCTACAGAATGGGAAAAGATCTTCACCAACCCCACATCTGACAGAGGACTGATATCCAGAATATATAAGGAACTCAAGAAATTAGACATCAAAATGCCCAACAGTCCAATTAAGAAATGGGCTATAGAACTAAACAGAGAATTCTCAACAGAGGAAACTCAAATGGCTGAAAGACATTTAAGGAATTGCTCAACATCCCTAATCATCAGGGAAATGCAAATCAAAACAACTCTGAGATACCACCTTACGCCTGTCAGAATGGCTAAGATCAAAAACACTGAAGACACCTTATGCTGGAGAGGATGTGGAGCTAGGGGAACTCTCCTCCACTGCTGGTGGGAATGCAAGCTTGTACAACCACTTTGGAAATCAATATGGCGCTTTCTTAGAAAATTGGGAATCAATCTCCCCCAAGATCCAGCTATACCACTCTTGGGCATATACCCAAGGAATGCTCAACCACACCATAAGAGCACTTGTTCAGCTATGTTCATATCAGCATTGTTTGTAATAGCCAGAACATGGAAACAACCTAGATGCCCTTCAACTGAAGAATGGATAAACAAAATGTGGTACATATACACAATGGAATACTACTCAGCAGAGAAAAACAATGACATCATGAGGTTTGCAGACAAATGGATGGATCTAGAAAAAATCATCCTGAGTGAGGTAACCCAGACTCAGAAAGACAAACATGGTATGTACTCACTCATAGCAGGATACTAGACATGAAACAAGGATGACTTGTCTGCTACTCACATCACCAGGGAGGCTACCTGGAAAACAGGACCCCAAGAAAGACACAGGGATCGCCCAATGACAGAGAAATGGAATGAGATCTACATGAACAGCCTGGACATGAGTGGGGGTAATGAAAGGCAAGGGTCGAGGGAAAGAGAGCTTGGGGGAGCGGGAGATCCCAGCTGGATCAACAACAGAGAGAGAGAACAAGGAATAGGAGACCATGGTAAATGAAGACCACATGAGAATAGGAAGAAGCAAAGTGCTAGAGAGGCCCACAGAAATCCACAAAGATACCCACACAACAGACTGCCGGCAATGGTCGAGAGACAGCCCGAACTGACCTACTCTGGTGATGGGAAGGCCAAACACCCTAATTGTTGTGCTAGAAACCTCATCCAACTACTGAGGTATCTGGATGCAGAGATCCATGACAAGGCCCTGGGTGGATCTCTGGGAGTCCAATTAGCGAGAATGAGGAGGGTTTATATGAGCGAGAATTGTTGAGACCAAGGTTAGATAAAGCACAGGGACAAATAGCCAAACGAATGGAAACACATGAACTATGAACCAATGGCTGAGGGGTCCCCACTGGATCAGGCACTCCGAATGGGTAAGACAGTTGATTGGCTTGATCTGTTTGGGAGACATCCAGGCAGTGGGACCAGATCTTGTGTTCATTGCATGAGTTGGCTGTTTGAAACCTGGGGCCTATGCAGGATTGTTTGGCTCGGCCTGGGAGGAGGGGACTAGACCTACCTGGACTGAGTCTACCAGGTTGACCTCAGTCTGTGGCTGTGGAGAAGGCTTTGCCCTGGAGTAGATGGGAATGGGGGGGGTTGGGGGAAGGTGAGGGGGACGGGAGGGGGGAGAACAAGGGAATCCGTGGCTGATATGTAGAACTGAATTGTATTGCAAAATAAATTAAAATAAAAAAAAATTGAAGAGATCTTACATTAATAGCATAATATCACACTTGAAAGATCTAGAACAAAAAGGAAACCTAACATGCAAAAGGAAGAGTCTGCAAGAAATAATCAAACTCAGGGCTGAAATCAACAACAAAACCCAACCAAACAAGAAGATACAAAGAATCAATGAAATAAATAGTTGGTTCTTAGAGGAAAAAAAAAGAAAATTGATAAACCATTAGCCAAATTACCTAAGAGATTGGGGAGATCCAAATTAAAATCAGAGACAAAAAGGGGAAACATCACAACAGACGCCAAGAAAATACAGAGAATCATAAAGACACACTTAAAAAATCTGTACTCTACCAAACTGGAAAATCTAAAAAAAAAATTATAAATTACTTTATATATACACAACCCATCAAAGTTAAATCAAGATCAGATAAGCAACTCAAACAGACCTATTGCCTCTAGTGAAATAGCAGTAATTAAAAGTATTTCAATAAAAAAATGCACAGGACCAGATTAGCCCCAAATTTTATCAGACTTTCACGGAAGAAATAATGTCAATATTCCTTAAATAATGCCACAAAGTAGAAACAGATGGCACTTTTTCTAAATCTTTTATGAGGCTATACTTACTCTAATATCCTAACCATGCAAATACCCAACTAAGAAAGACCAATATCCTTGTGGATTTCTGTGGGCCTCTCTAGCACTTTGCTTCTTCCTATTCTCATGTGGTCTTCATTTACCATGGTCTCCTCTTCCTTGTTCTCCCTCTCTGTTGTTGATCCAGCTGGGATCTCCCGCTCCCCCAAGCTCTCTTTCCCTTGACCCTCGCCCTTCATTACCCTCACTCATATCCAGGCTGTTCATGTAGATCTCTTCCATTTCTCCGTCATTGGACGATCCTCGTGCTTTCTTGGGATCCTGTTTTCCAGGTAGCCTCCCTGGTGATGTAGCAGTCCAGTCATCTTTGTTCCACATCTATTATCCTCCTATGAGTGAGTACATACCCTGTTTGTCTTTCTGAGTCTGGGTTACCTCACTCAGGATGATTTTTTCTAGATCCATCCATTTGTCTGCAAACCTCATGATGTCATTGTTTTTCTCTGCTGAGTAGTATTCCATTGTGTATATGTACCACATTTTGTTTATCCATTCTTCAGTTGAAGGGCACCACAACAGACTGCTGACAATGGTCGAGATACAGCCCGAACTGACCTACTCTGTTGATGGGATGACCAAACACCCTAATTGTCGTGCCAGAAACCCCATCCAACTACTGAGGGATGTGGATGCAAATATCCATGGCTAGGCCCCGGGTGGATCTCTGGGAGTCCAATTAGCGAGAATGAGGAGGGCTTTTATGAGCGAGAATTGTTGAGACCAAGGTTGAATAAAGCACAGGGACAACTAGCCAAACGAATGGAAATACATGAACTATGAACCAATGGCTGAAGGGTCACCAACTGGATCAGGCCCTCTGAATGGGTGACACAGTTGATTGGCTTAATCTGTTTGGGAGGCATCCAGGCAGTGCGACTGGGTCCTATGCTTATTGCATGAGTTGGCTGTTTGAAACCTGGGGCCTATGCAGGATCGTTTGGCTCAGCCTGGGAGGAGGGGACTGGACCTACCTGGACTGAGTCTACCAGGTTGATCTCAGTCCGCAGGGGAGGCTTTGCCCTGGAGGAGGTGGGAATGGGGGGTGGGCTGGGGGGAAGGTGAGGGGGCGGGAGGGGGGGAGAACAAGGGAATCCGTGGCTGATATGTAGAACTGAATTGTATTGCAAAATAAAAATAAAGATAAAAAAAAGAAAGAAAGAAAGACCAATATCCATTAAGAACACAGATTGAAAAATTCTCAATAAAATATTTGTAACTGAATATATGAACACATCAAAAAATATTATGCATCATGATCAAGTTGGCTTTGACTAAGAGATGTAGGGATGCTTCAACAACCAATAAACATAATACAACATATAAACAGCATGAAACACAAGAACCACATGATCATCTCTTTAGATTCAGAAATGGTTTTTGACAAAACCCAGCATCTCTTCATAATAACAGTCCTGGAGAGACTGAGGGTAAAAGTGACATACCCTAGCATAATAAAGATGATTTGCATCAAGCTAACAGCCAAGATCAACCCAAATGAAGACAGTCTCAAAGTATTTCCATTAAAATCAGGAACAAGACAAGATGGCATTCTCTCCAGCCTATTCAATGCAGCATTTGAAGTCTTAGCTAGAGCAATAAGATAACTGAAGGAGATCAAAAGGATCCATATAGAAATGGAAGAAGTCAAATTATCTTTATGTAGATGAATTTCTAAATGGTCTTATTAGATAAAAAATCACAGAGACAAATATATGGGTAAAAGCCTTAGAGAGATCAGGAAAAATAAGGAAAGCCACCAGCCAACCTTGCCTCACCAACTCCGCAGCTTCCAAATGCTGTCTACCCACTTCTCATCTACCCACGCCTTTATTGCCTTGCTGTTCTGCCCTCTCATTGGCTCTCTTAGCCCAGCCTCCTCACTTCCTCTTCCTACACAGCTCTGTCACTTTCTATTTGTCTATACAGACCTCCAGTCCTCTATGGTTGGTACTGGGATTAAAGGCATGTGTCACCATGCTTGACTCTGTTCCCTAGTGTGGCCTTGAACACACAGAGATCCTGCCTGTTAAGGGATAGGATTAAGGGCATATGCTACCGCTGCCTGACTTGTTTGCTTGCTTAAAATGGCTTGCTATTTTCTCTGATCTCCAGGCAAACTTTATTTATTAAAGCACAAATAACATATCACCATATCTTTATTTGTATATGATACAAGTGTTTAAATTAAGGACCTTAAAAACTCCAGCAGGAAACTTCCACTGCTGATAACCACTTTAAGCAAAGTAGCAGAATACAAAATTACTACTCAAAAATCAGTAGCCTTCTTAGATACAAATGACAAATGACTGAGGGAAAAAATCAGAAAAACCATCTTTCAGAGTACCCTCAAGACAATAAAATAAAATATCTTTGGGTAACACTAACCAAGCAACTGAACGACTTATGTAATAAAAACTTAAGGCATGAGAGCAAAAAATTGAAGAAGATATTAGAAGACAGAAATATCTCCCATGCTCATGGATTGGTAGGATTAACATAGAAAAAATGGATGTTCTGTCAAAAGTAATGTACACATTCAATGCAGTCACTATCAAAATTCCAACACAATTCTTCACAAAAAAATTAAAAGAACAAGTTTCACAAAAAACTGAGATAGCTAAAACAATCCTAAATAATAAAAGAACTGCTAGAACTACCATCATCCCTGATCTTGTTTATGACAGAGCTATACTAATTAAAACAGCATGGTATTATCATTAAAAACAGACACATTGATCAATGGAATAAAATTGAATCCAAGACATAAGTCCACACACCTGTAGATATCTGGTTTATTTTTTTTTTTTACAAAGAAAACAGAAATACACACTGAGTTAAAAGACAGTATCTTTAATGAGTAGTGTTGGTCAAACTAATTGGCCACATGTAGAAGGATAGAAATAGACTTATATGTATTATGCAGCATGAACATCAACTTAAAGTGGGTCAAGTACCTTAAAATTTGGCCAAATACCCTGAACCTGATAAAAGAGAAAGTGAGTAATAGGCTTGAACTCATGGCACAGTAAAAGACTTTCTGAACAGGACACCAATAGCATAGGCGCTAAGACCAACAATCAATAAATCAGACCTCATGAAGTTGAATGTTTCTGTATGGCAAAGGAAACAATCATCTGGATGTAGTGGCAGACTACACACTGGGAAAAGATCTTTACCCATTATACATCCAATAGAGGATTAATACAAAAAATATATAAAAAACAAAAATAGCAAGATATCTTAGGATTTTTATTATTCTGAAGAGACACCATGACCATGGCAACTCTTATAAAGGAAAACATTTAATGGAGTGGCTTGCTTACAATTTCTAAGGTTCAGTCATCATAACTGGGAGCACGGCAGCATGCACACAGACATGATACTGGAGAGGTAGCTGAGAGTACTACATTCTGCAGGCAACAGGAAGATGACTGAGTCACTGGGCAGTATCCTAAGGATAGGAAACTCAAAGCCTTCTGCCACAGTGACACACTTCCTCCAATAAGGCCATATCCACTCCAACAAAGCCACACCTCCTAGTAATGCCACTCCCTATTAGATTATGGGGGCCAGTTACATTTAAACTACCACATTCCACTCCCTGGCCCCCATAAGTTTGTAATAATATCAATGCAAAATGCATATAGCTCAATTTTAAAAGTACTCATAGTCTATAACAGTCTCAACAATGTTTACATGTCCAAAGTTCAAAGTCTCTTCTGAGATTCAGGCAACTCTTAAATGTAATCCCCTGTAAAATCAAAATAAAAAAAGAGATCACATACATCCAACATGCAATAGCACAGGATATACATTACCATTCCAAAATGCAAGAAAAGGAGCATAATGAGGAAATACTGGACTGTAGCTAGAGTTTTTCTGTCTGGCCCACAGTCAGGACAAATCTCTCTCACCTGCCAGTCCCACAGCCACTCAGACTCGATCAAGTAAACATAGAGACTTATATTGGTTACAAACTGTATGGCTGTGGCAGGCTTCTTGCTAACTGTTTTTACAGCTTAAATTAATCCATTTCTATAAATCTATACCTTGTCACATGGCTCGTTGCTTACCAGCATCTTCACATGTTGTTTCTCATCGTGGCGGCTGGCAGTGTCTCTGACTCAGTCTTCCACTTCCCAGCTCTATTCTCCTCCTTGTCCCGCCTATAATTCCTGCCTAGCCAATGGCCAATCAATGTTTTATTTATTGACCAATCAGCAACACATTTGCCATACAGAACATCCCACAGCACTGGACCAAAGCAAGACTTAAAACCAGCTGGTCAAACTCCAAACTCTCAATCTTCAACCACTGTTTACCACACAGAAAGGTCACGGCCACGAGTTCCCCAGTATCAGTATCAAAGCTTTATTAAGAGGGGTGGGGGAGGACAAGAGAACCAGGCTTGGGGAAGGAGCACATGCAGAGAGAGAGAAAGATGGTGGGGGAAGAGAGAACAGAACAGAAAGAGAGAGAGAGAGGGTGAGGTCTGAGTCATGGCTCTTTTAAGGTGCATGTGAGCTTATGGAGCTACACCACATATGCGCAGATTGTGTGACCACACTGCACATATGTACATAATCACTAGCCCGTACTGATGATGAAAGATGCAAGACCATTTGCTTAACTCCTGAACTGTGCATGTGCAGTCATGCAGCTGGAGTGAGGGTAGAATTCTAACATTCCAGAGTTTTTGCTTATTATAAAAAAGCAAGTGAACAGGAATAGGGGTGGCATTTCTCCCAGAAAAAAATTGCTTCCAGTTGACTTGGTGGGCATTGGTTGGCTCTTGGGTGGTAGGGAAGGGGGATTCTGAGGTAGACAGGTGTCCTGGGATGGTGGGCTGTTGTCTGCTGCCTTGGAGCTGTTCATCTTTCTTGGCTTAGCATTCTGGTTGCTTTTGTGTCTGACAGGATATTGGTAAGACAGAGAAAAAAAGAATCATTACTATTATTTTTACTTTTTTCTTTGGGGGGTCCCCAGACCAGGAAAGTTTGGGTTTGACACTTATCTGAAGTAGATCTGACCTGTTGAATGGGCTTAAGCTGGTTCCTGGAGCTTAGGGAAAAAAGAAGCAGCAATGAGAAAATTAAAGTCTTGGGCTGGTGACCATTGTAGTGTTTGGTACTCTACTTGTATTGGTTAGTGTTAATGAGAGAGAGAGAGAGAGAGAGAGAGAGAGAGAGAGAGAGAGAGAGAGAGAGAGAGAGAGAGAGAGAGAGATTGGAACAAGGTTTTAATATTTTAACCTGAGATAAGCTTTATCAGAGACATTATTTTAAGGCACCTGTTGCCTTTACTAGTTTAGCACTCAAGAGACACAGGCAATCAATTGTTGAGAGCAACTGACAGTAATAGATTGTTATATTAAAGTCTGTTTTTGCAGAGCCCAGACACTTTTGGGTCTGGGGGTGTAAATACCTTTTAACTGTTACTGTTCCTTTACTATCTGGGTATATATTTGATGGTCCTTGAATTCTGGCTCTATGATGATCCTATAACAATTAGCTGAGTAATTAATTGGATGAGGGAACTGGGAAGAGAAAGCTTGTAGGATGAGACCTCATTCTTCTGGAATTGGGGACAAGGCAGAGAGCAGGGCCCTGTCTGTGTCACTGTGCATGAGGAGAAGCACTTCTGACAGGTCTGGAGTGAGGCACATGGAGGGAACGAATGAAATGAAAAATCTTTTCCTATTAAGCAACCCTGAAAGTACAGTTAAGTCTGGTGAGGTGGGTAAGGCTGTCTCCCTACCCCAACAATAGGGAAACAAGGAGAGCTGGGACCCCAAAACTCTCTCAGGACTTAGTAAGTGGCTCCAGTGTCCAGAAGGAAGCTGCATTCAGGGTTCCCTGTGAGCCTGTGGCCAAGCCTAGGAGGTCTGCTAGAGGTCTTTGTTTGATGCTCCCATGCCCCTGGGTGCATGGAGGCAGTCAGCTGACCACTTAACTCTCTAGGTGGCACTTTGAACAAGGCTCACTTGATGGCCTGGTAGGGCACACATTAGCCCTCATGACCTTCTTTCCCGGACTTAAAACAGGGACCTGGCAGTTTTCAGGAGCTGGTTGGATAGTGTGTGCCAGCATTTGGCAATTCTGTTCTCAGGCTTTCTCATTTCTCCCATGACGCACCTTAAATGCCACAGCTGAAACTTCCACCTGTGGGGTGAGGAGCTTTGCTCTCCAGATGCTTAAGTTTTTTTTTTTTTTTTTTGTTTTGTTTTTTGGTTTTTCTAGACAGGGTTTCTCTGTGTAGCTTTGCGCCTTTCCTGGGACTCACTTGGTAGACCAGGCTGGCCTCGAACTCACAGAGATCCACCTGGCTCTGCCTCCGGAGTGCTGGGATTAAAGGTGTGCGCCACCACCACCCGGCCAGATGCTTAAGTTTTAGCCCTTTTGTTGGGGAGGTTTGGGAGACAAGAGATGGATTTTATTCCATGTCTTGATTTTTTTTTTTTTGATAATTTGCTGACGAGGACAGCTTTAGAAAGACCAGCCAGGAGGCAGGTTGTAAACTGATCTCTGGCTAAAGTGCCATCCTGATTACTGTGATCCCCATGTGGGTCCTAATCGTAAACTTATTTGCATGCATCCTAGCCTGCTTTCAGACCTGTCCTGCCCAGTACTGTAGAAGAGAGCACAGAGCCAAGAGCAGATAAGATAAGGTTCTTTGAAGTCAGAGATTCCTTAGGTTCGGGAATGCACATGGTCAGGAGAGAGAGAATCAGAAAGAGAGGGTTTAGAGCTTAGGTAAAAGCATGGGGATCAGGTAATTCTTTTCATTTGCCCCTTTGCTGGCAGAAGTTAGATAATTCCTGTGAAATATCAGGGTTGAAGCAGTCATTATGTAGCCAAATTTCAGGGGAGTAGTGGAACAGCGAGGAGCCCATGTCCCATGACTGCAGTCCCAGAGGGAAAAAAAATAAAAATAAAAATAACAAATGGGATCCCCAGGCTCCTATTTCAAATGTCCTTGTGAATGCGTAGTCTGTGGACTGGCATAACAGCACAGATAACCCAATCATCATCATGAGAAGGGCAAGGACTGGGCGTACATACTGGAGGACCCCACACACACCAGGAATCTAGACATCATTCAATAATTTGTCAAGAGAGAATGATTTGTGATTATGCAGCCAAGGACCCCCTGGGGGTCTGGTGCGAAGAATATAGCTTAGCCTACAGTCTCAGGAAATGGCAGGGAATCAGAAAGGGAAAAACTCACCAATCTGGTTAGTGGGTGTGGTTTGCGAGTCCAGCGGTTGGGCAAATGAAAAAAGCGGAGTGGGCAGTCGCAGGCCCAATGAACCGAGGTATAGGTTTCCGGATGCCGAGCCCCAGATCATTGGAAGAGTCTGTCTCATCACAGCACCATTGTAAGAATGATAGGCGGTGCTGGAGAACCAGGCCTGGGGAAGGAGCATATGCAGAGAGAGAGAGAAAGATGGTGGGGGAAGAGAGAACAGAACAGAGGGGAGGGTTCTGTGTCTGGCTCTTGAAGGTGGCTTACAGAGCTATGCCACACATGTGCAGATATCGTGACCACACCGTGCATACATAATCACCAGTGCACACTTATGATGTAAGACTCAAGGCCCTTTGCTTAGCTCCTGAACTGTGAATGTGCGGTCATGCAGCTGGAATGGGGACAGTATCCTAACACTCATGTTTCATGTTGGAACACTCTTCAGATCTCCAACTCAGTTCAGCTTTGTTGGCTGCAACAAACTTCTTTCTCTTGGGATGGTTCCACTTCCTGTTAGTAGCTCTCCTTGGCAGGTATCCCATTATTCTAGGATCTGTAACATCTTGGAGTCTCCAAGGCTATCCAAATTTCAACATCACAGCTTCACACAATGGCATCTCTACTTGACCTCCACTCAGGGACACTCCTGACACATGCCTGGCCTCAGTGGCTTTATTCCATAACTCTTTTCTTCTATCCTTAACTCTAAACTCAGAAACACATGGTCAAAGCTGCCAACTTCTGCTGCTTACTGAGAGTGGGACATGACCTCCTCACTCAATTACATCTACAGCACCTTTCTCTCTTTCACTGAGTATACTTGACTGTCCAGAAACTTGCTCAGTAGAACAGGCTGGCCTCAAATTCAGAGCTGCCAAATGCTGGCATTAAAGGCATGCACCACCACATCCTGCTCTAAGCTTTTCTTTAATTCCTTCTTCATAAGTTGGAAATGTAGCTGGGTAAGATCTTCCCCTGAGCTCACCACTCCCTTTATTCCATTTGTAAGCTGTTTTTCTCCTTGAACACAGGATTTAGCTCCATTTCACTTCCTGGTACTCCTTTTCTCCTCAAATTTTCCATTATGTAATTTATCCTGCTCAGTTTGCTCCTTTTCATTATAAATTTTCATTAGTTACCACTAATAACCTCATGGCAGAGTCTATACTAGGCTGTTTTGAGATTTCTTCTGCTAATGGAATTAATCCAAAACTCTTCACTTTAGCATCAGGCAGTAATCCAAAAACAATTCATTTTAGCCTTAGGCAGACTCTTCAGACAAGTTCAAAAGGCAGCCACTTTCTTCAACAAAATATCACAATAATGATTTCTAGGCAATGTACTAAAATTCTTCTCTGAAAACTCTTGTGTTAAGACCCAACAGTTCAAACAAATCTTTGCACTGCTGTCTTCCATGCTCCTACCAGTACAGCCCACTAAGCAGTGCTTAAAGCATTCCACTGCTTTCATAACCCAAAGTACCAAAGTCTAAATTCCTACAAACAAAAAAATGGCCAGGCCTATCACAGCATTACCCCAGTCCCTTGTACCAACTTCTGTCTTAGTTAGGGTTTCTATTGCTGTGAAGAGACAACATGACCACAACAACTCTTATAAAGGAAAACATTTAATTGAGGTGGCTCACTTACGGTTCAGAAGTTCAGGCCATTATCATCATGGTGTGGAGCATAGCAGCATGCAGGCAGACATAGTGCTGGCTACATTGATCAGAAGGCAGCAGGAAGTGGACTGTGTTTCTGTGAGTAGCTTGAGCAAAGAGTCTTCAAAACCCACCCCCACAGTGACACACTTCCTCCACAAGGCCACACCTACTCCAACAAAGCCATACCTCCTAATAGTGTCACTCTCTTTGGGGTTTCTTTCCAATCACTACACTCCACTCCCTGGCCACCAAAGGCTTTAAGCCATATCATAATGCAAAAATGCACTCAGTCCAACTTCAAAAGTCTCCATTATGGAATATTCCTTTACACTGTGTGAATATGTGTCATTGTTAGTGGGTTAATAAAGAAGCACCCTGGCCAATAGCTGGACAGGTGGAGGCTAGGCAGAAGTTGCAGAAAAAACAGAACATGAAGAGGAGAGTATCAGAATCACAAAGATACATGGAGAGAAAGAGATGAACTTATTGTCCTGAGAAAAGGTCCCAAGCCATGTAGCAGAGCATAGTGGAAAGTTGTAGGTGGAATATTAAAGAGAAGGGTGTAAGGGTTGGTGACCACTGGGTGGGTCAGAATAACTGCCTCATTAATGAGTCAGTCGTCCTGAACTAAGCAGTAAGCACTGGAGCAGGAATTCAGAACCCCCAAACCCTGGATATAAGGAAGTTCAGACCACTTGTCTGTATGTGGCAAAAAGTCTCAAGATCACAGAGGATGTTAAAGTCAAGAGTTCCCCGTGGTGGCCATCTTGACTGATTATCAAGTGTGTATTGAGCCCAGGCCACAGACAGAACAAAAGAAAACCAAGTATTTTGGACATATGATGTCAGACAGCCCCAATTTGGATAAACTTTTCAGCAGACGCCACAGAGGTGACTGAGGATTGGGTTTAGACCTGGTGTTGTCCTTTTCCAAGCCTGTGCTGGAGACTGAAGACTAGGGCGAGGTGTCCCCTGTGATAGCCTGGGGTCTATCGGTAGGGGTGGGGGTAGCCTTTGGGAAGGACATCTCCTTAACACAAAGGTCCTCCAGAACAGACTTTCTTTTCTATGGAAATGGATTGGGCTTCCTCTGGTGTGGCTGTGGCTTGGCAGGGGATCTTCTGGATCTTTGACCCAAAAGAGATCTTGACCCAGAAGAGTTACCCGGTACTTCTGTAGGTAGTGGTTTAGAAATGGGTGAATTAAACCAAGTCAAAAGTCGATCATGTCTGGCAGAGAGGAAGAAAAAGGGAGAGGAGTGACCCCTCACATGGTTGGGGGACCTGGTCCACCCAGCAGAAAGGCTCAACCTCCCAGGGTTTTAGCACCAAGATAATAGATTTTCTGTAGCCTGATAATAGGTTTCTCTGATGATGCAGGAAGCCAGATCAAGCTGAATTGAAAAAGTAAAAGAACAGGTTTATTTGAACAAAGAAACCCCCAGTGAGTCCTCTAGCCCCAGATATCAGAGGCTGGAGAAGTCACATGACCAAACTAAAGCAGGAAGCTTGTATGCCCAGTAGGTGAGGGGTTATGACATGTTCTCTACAAGCCAGGTTTGTGCCCAAGAATGGTCAAAAGCTGACTGCTTCAGGCAGGGTCTTGGGCTACTGGCAACTTCAGGCAAGGAACTTCTGCAGCCACCAAGAATGTGGAACTGGACATTTGACACCTTTTTTTTTGTTGTTGGAGATTCTCTGGGAGGGTGGGGTTTGGAGAGTGAGAAATGGAACTTTCCAGGTCAAGCAGGAGTGAGCTGGAGGTTCCAGCCAAACATTGTAGACCAGGCTGACCTCAAACTCAGAGATCCATCTGCCTCTGTCTCTGAAATGTTGGGATAAAAAGGCATCCACCACAACACACAGATATAAGCTCTTTTTTAATTCCTTCACATGTTGGAAGCCTAGCCCTGAGGTCAACATTCCCTTTATTCCATTCAACATCAGGATTTTCTTTAATCTGTTTATTGTCTTGAACACAGGACTCAGCTCCACTGTACTTTTTAAAGCATGATCCTAATTAGTCTTATCCATAAAAACCAGGAATTAGATATTGGGGTAAAAACTGAAAGATCAGAGAAGCAAATGAGCAGCCACAGTCACTTCTTACCTCTGCAAATCCTCAGACCAAAAGGCAGGGGCCTGAGATCCTGTCTCCTTCTACCTTATATTCCTGTCTTCACTTCCAGATTGTGCTGGGATTAAAGACATGAGCCTCCCAAGTGCTGGGATTAAAAGCATGAGCCATTACCACCTAACTCTATGGTTAACTGGTGGCTAGCTCTGCCCTCTGATCTCCAGGCAAGCTTTATTTGTCAGAAACACAATATATCATACAATTTCCCCCTTTTTGTTTAAATAAAAAGCAAAGGTTTTAACTAACATAGAAAAACTATATACAGTAAGTACAATAACTATATATAAATGTACAAGGCAATAATTACATTAGCAATATATAGTCCATCAGCATTGGACAATTTCAGAAAAAATACTCCATTGTCTATCATATCTTGGTGAGTCCAAAGTGTTGTACCTAAATCACTTTCTATTCTGACTTACATTATCACATTTCTATATGCCCCTTTTCTTTTTATAATGAGATCACTGAATCTAATTGCCTTTATTCAGCTTTTTTCTTGACCACTACCAATAACAACTCATACCCAACCCCTCTTAAATGATAATAAATATCCATCATCCATCTTTTGAGAATGTGAGCATAGTTCTCTAGACTATTTCTTTTTGACTGGAGGCACTGATAAATCTTTGTGGGACCCTGAGAAAATTCAGGTTTATGGTCAAGTCCTGGCTTGAGAATTCTGTGAGGCTGGCTCATCTCAGTCAGACACCTTGAAGCCATTCTGGATGTAGAACTCAGAAGAAGCTGCAACAGAGGCACTCGGAAACATGGGATCATCTGTGCCATCTGCTCCCACTGGAGATTTTTCAGGGGATCTTCCTTGATCAAACCTGATTTTTATTAACCCAGAATGAATGCATAGCCTCTCATTTCCTGTGGAAGTAAAAGCAGAACCTCTTTACCACTATAACATATCTTTTGACTTAAATTTTGAAGCCAAGGCATTTTCAAAACATATAGGTTGACTTAATACAACATTTATAATCAAATGTCTCTTAGCAGGTGTTCCTTCTCCCTCACCAGCCAAAAATTTCAGAGACAACATAATAACATACAGTATCCAGACTATCTGTGTATTTTTGATCTTTTTTTCTTGTTGTTTTTTCAAGACAGGGTTTCTCTGTGTAGCTTTGAAGCCTGTCCTGTCCTGGGACATTCTCTGTAGATCAGGCTGGTCTCAAACTCACAGAGAGCCACCTGTGCTGGGATTAGAGGTGTGCACCACCACTGCCCAGCTGTATTTTTTTATCTTTATGTGGCTGTTTTAAAATATTACTTTACTCTCCTTTTAATGACTTTATTTTATTATTTTAAAACTATGTATTTTTTATGACTGTTTATACCTTCTCTTTTCTTTCCCAAGGCTATGTATAAATACACTGTAAACCAGTTTAAGGTTTTTTTGGTCTGGATCTGTCTTTACTGCATATCTCTATGTTTTTCTGACCACATGAGTCTTTAAACTGTTAAGCAGTGTGGCTAGGACTTCTGCCTCAGCTCTGGGGCTTGGCTCTGCCCTGCCTTGTTTCCTAAGAGCCCAGCTTCATGGCAGAGGCATTGGCAAGAGCCATGTTCAACTCCCAAAATCTGGGGAGCTCCTGAGTCCACACTGCCATTGAGCAGCATGCTGCCTGCTGCTCATAAATCCCATTTAAGTGTTTGGTAGTAGGGCTTCTTAAAAGAGCCACATGGTTTTTGCCACTAGCACTGAATCAGGAAGCCATCTCTTAAAGGAGTCATGCCTCTGCTTGCTGCTAGCAAACAGAGCCTATTAAAGAAATAGCATTTACCAAGAAGCCAAGTTTTGACTCTGTTTTTGTGTGTTTAGAATCCTTTTAAAGCCTTTTAAGGCTTTATGTAGAAATTCTTGCCCCATCTGAACATGATCCTAATTAGTCTCATCAATAAAAGCCAGGATTTAGATATTAGGGTAAAAACTGAAAAATCAGAGAAGCAAAGGAGCAGCCACAGACTTCTTACCTCTCCTAATCCTCAGACCAAAAGTGGGGAGGCTAGAGCCTATCTCCACTCACCTTATATTTCTGTTTCTACCTCCAGATTGTGCTGGGATTAAAGGCATGAGCCTCCCAAGTGCTGGGATTAAGGTATGAGCCCCCACTGCCTGGCCTCTGTGGTTAAGTAGTGGATAGCTCCACCCACTGATCTCTAGTAAAGCTTTATTTGTCAGAACACAAACAAGATATCATACAACTACTTTTCTCCTCAAATTGTACATTTTGTAACTTTCCTTTCTCAGCTCACTCCTTTTTATTATAGCTCTTAATAAGAGTGAACACTAATATCCACACAACATAGTCAATTCTAGGCTGTTTAGAGATGTTCACTAATGAAGCTGTCAATCCATAATTCTTCAATTTAGCCTCGGGCAGATTTTTTAGACAAGGGTAGAAAGCAGCCACATTTTTTACCAAAATATCACAAGAACAGTCTCTAGGCCATCTGTGGACTTACAGAATGCTCCATACACCATCAATACCATTTAATATAGCATTACTTCTGACCCAGAACCTCACTTAACAGGGAAGTGCTGTGGGATAATGCTGTTATACACTGTAATGATTTGTCACTCCAATTGGTTTAATAAAATGCTGATTTGCAGGAAATATAGGCAGGATGACTAGGAGAATTCTGGGAAGAGAAAGGGTGGAGCCAGGAGTTGCCAGCCAGATACAAAGGAAACAAGATGAGAATGTCACACTTGTCACACTAAGAAAAGTTATAAAGTCACATGGCTAAACCTAGATAGGAATTATGGGCTAATTTAAGTGTAAGATCTAGTTAGTAATAAGCCTGAGTTGCTGGATGAGCATTTATAAGTAATATTAAGCCACTGAGTCAATTATTTGGGAAGTAACTACTGGGTATTTGGGAGTTGCTGGTGGGAGAGAAACTTCTGCCCACAGAGAAGTGTGATAGTGATCCTGCTGTCATGGAATTCACTGATCTTATGTTTCCCACCATCATGAAGCAGATGATCTTTTGAAAAATACAAGTACAACACTAATAGGTGCCATTAGCCTGAAAGGGTTCTCCTGAAGGTGGTATACGCTTTTAATCAACATCCAATATATGGTGTGGTTTCTCCCATAGCCAGGATTCATGGGTCCAGGAATCAAGGAGCAGAAATGGGAATGGGTTTACTCACTATTACCCCTAATGAACCACTAGGAAAATTTTTGTTTTCTTTGTCTATGACCTTAAGTTTGCTAGCCTAGAAATTATGGACCCAGATGGAGGGAGCCCTCCTGCCAGGATACATAACAAATATCCCACTGAAATGGAAGCTCAGACATTCCCTTGGCCATTTTAGGCTTCTGATATCCTTACACCAACAGGTTAAGAAAGGAATAACAGTGCCAGAAGGGGTGATTGATTTGGACTACCAAGGCAAAATCAGATTGCTTCTCTACAATGGAAGATTATGTTTGGAGTGCAGGAAGTCCTTTAGGGTTACTTTGATATTACCATGTACTGTGATTAAAGTTAATGTGAAACTATAACAACCCAATCAAGGCAGGATGGCAAAGGGTCCAGACCCTCCAGGAATGAAGGTATGTGCAACAAGCTTTGTTGTTGGCCACCAACTCACAAATAACAACACGGAGACTTATTAATTAAGAAAGCTTGGCCTCAGTTTAGGCTTGTCCCACTAGCTCTTATAAGTTAAATTAACCTATTTATATTAATCTATGTTTTATCTTGTGGCTTTTTAGCTTCCTTTCATTCTGTATGTCTGACTCCTTCCATGTCTACTAGTGTCTCCTGCACACCTGGTTTTATTTCCTACTGCCTAGAAATCCTGCCTATACTGCCTGCCTACCTATTGACCATTCAGCTCTTTATTAAACCAATCACAGTAATATATCTTCACACAATGTACAAATATCCCACAACAGGTAATAGTCAGTCTTCCAGAAAAAGAACGAAGACCTTCTAAGATACTTGGTATATGCGGAGGAAATAATGGATAGTAGAGGAAGGTAGTGTTGTGGGAATGTTTCTGGAATAAGCACCCCAACACCAATGAGAGTGAAAGAGAGATATCACTGGTGGATCAAAGCAAGGGTAGTTTCTGAAAGGCCTCATTCTCAGGTCCTTTGCATGCTCATTTTATACTAAATCTACGAGGTGGGGTCGGTAAGGGAGACTTTACAGATGTGTCCATAGCAGTCAGCAGGTTGCTAATGGCAATGACCATTGTTTCAGCTACTTTTCCAGGTCATTCTGTTCCAGGTATCAACTGAAATTATGCTTAGCAAACAGGCAGTACAAGCAGTGCTTCAAGTAATCACTAAAAAAATCATTAAATATGTAATAATTGGTCTTTTTTAAACCTTATTCTTCAGTAGTAATAAATACCAGCTAAGGACACATGACCAGTTACAGAAATGAGTAATGTGATTGACATGAATGTTCCTGGCCTATTTTATAAAGAACATGTTTGTGTGTATTCACATACATTCACCAGGTATTTGTGTTTTGTTTCCTCTTATTTTTTTAAATACGTAATATACCATAGATTAAGATTATATCAGTGGTTATTATCATGTTTTAATTTATAAGACATTAAGAGACTAAGCATTCCCATAGGGCCTGCCACTTATCCTAAAAGATATAATGTATTTGCAATTGTTCATAGGAGTTACATCATGTAAGTCAGAATCATGGCCTGGTTACTGTCTTATTTGGAAATTAAGCATGACATAAGGGGATATGTTTGTGTGTCAACTTGACAAGGGATTCACTTGTGATGGCCAATCTTGTTTGTCAATTAGACTACACCTAAAATCAGCTAAAACCTAATTAGCTGGACTGTCAGATGGTTTCTTGATTGGCTCATTTGAAATAAGAAGGCCCAGTCTAAATCTAGGTCACATCTTCTAATGGCAGCCCACATAAAGGACAAGGAAGAAAGAATAAATAAAAGAATCAAGAAAATGAATTAACTATTTAGAGTATAGATCGAAACAGAGTTCACAATAAAAATGACCAAGAAATATCTAAGAATGGGGTTCAACATCAGAGAAATGGAACTTAAAACTACTTTGAGACTTCAAAAACTATCCTAATTATATTGGCTATGATTTAAAAAAAAAACCACAACAAATATTGGCAAGGCTGTTGGAAAGGGGAAATGCTTACTCATTATTGGTGGGATTCTAACCTTGGTGCAGCCACAATAAAAATCAGTGTGGAGAATTCTCAAAAAGTTAAAAATCATTCTACATATGACAAAGCTTTATCACCACCTGGAACATAACCACATCACTTGATATACTACTACAGAGACACTTGTTCAGGTATATTGATTTGCACTCCACTTACAATACCTAGGACATGGAAACATCCTAGATGTCCATCCAATGAGAAATGGATAATTTATATGTATATAAATACAATGGAATTCTATTCAGCTATAAGAAAAATTAAATCATGAAATTTGCAGATAAATTGATAGAACTGGAAAATATACTGAACAAGGTAACATGAACTCAGAAAGATGAACAGAATGTTTTCTATTTGTGAATCTTTAGAGTATATAGCATGATCTAATCACAAAATCCAGGATGGTAAAAAGAGGGAACATGAGGTGAACGTCAAGAACGAGCTCTAGAAGGAGGGATAGTATGACACAGGAGTTACGAAGGGGCAAAGTGGAAAAATGGTGTCAGGGGGTGTATTGTTATTTACTCTTGTTTATTAAGCCCTTCCTCCACAATGCCTGAATATTCAAAATCCTAGCACTTAAAAATTTCATTTATTACTGTGTTCTATTATTTTTCTTTTTTTGAGAAACAGACATTGCCATTAATTTTCAGTATTTTGTTTTTGAGATTATATCATTTCCACCT